TATTTTTGTTAATCAAGACTTTAATGTCTTATTTACAAAATTGATATGAGCAAAAAAAAAAATACAAAAAAACACAAAATGCAATACATTGAATATAAAATGAAAAAAGTTGAAATAAAAATTAAATTAAAACAGTAATACAAAAATAATAACATAAATGAACGATGACGTGATGATGTATGCCGCGTACTACGTCAGGACGCGTGCAGACATTGGGCTAGGAGTTTGGTAGATCGGAAGGCCATTTCTTGCTCAATCTTCTTATCGGTCTCTGAATCGCTTGAATTGTAGGATTTGTATGCTGGATTAATTTGTTGTTAAAAGATGAACTTCTAATCTTGATCATTTCGTTGACTGTTGAGATTTTCAAATCCTTATGTAGGCAAAAATTCGAAATATACCAAGGCGCATTAGTAAGGATACGCAGAATTTTATTCTGGCACCTTTGAATGATGTTTATGTTAGATTTGCAAGAGCAACCCCATAGTTCGATTCCATAAGTCCAAATGGGCACTATGATAGTTTTATACAAAAGTACCTTGTTATCGAGAGAGATTTCAGATTTCCTCCCAAAAAGCCAGTAAAAATCTTTTATTTTCAGTTGGATTTGTTTCTTTTTATATTCAATGTGCGTTCTCCATGTCAATTTCGAATCAATGTGCATGCCTAAATATTTGACAGAATTGCATAATGGAATTATTGAATTGTTCATGATGATAGGTGGACTGTTGTGATGTTTTAGAGAAACAATTATGTGCTGAGATTTTTCGATATTGATTTTGATATTCCAATCTAAAAACCATTTTTCGAGACTAGATAAATAATTTTGTAACTGACAAGTTGCTGTTCTAATATCGGAATTGCATGAAATAATTGCTATGTCATCGGCGTAAGTGCATATGGTTAGAAGATCATCTGTGGGCATATCGTTTGTGAAAAGAAGAAAAAGTACAGGACTTAGCACACTGCCCTGTGGTACCCCGCATTCTATATTTCTGATGCTCGAAGTCACATCTTTAATTTTGATTCTAAATTTTCTATTAAGCAAATATGAGCTTAAGATATTGAAGTAGTTTGGAAAAGTTGTTTTGATTTTATATAGGAGTCCTGAGTGCCAAACCTTATCAAAAGCCTGACTGACATCTAAGAATACGGCTACGCTGTGTTCCTTTCTATTCATGGCTTCAAGAATACGAGACACCGTTCTGTTGCATTGTTGAATTGTAGAGTGATTTTTTCTGAAGCCAAACTGATGGTGAGGAATCCAACTATCATTCGGATGATCTTCTGACAATCTTTGCAACAAAAGTCTCTCTAAAATTTTCGATAATATCGATAAAAGACTGATAGGACGGTATGAACTAGCAGTGTGATGGTTTTTGTTTGGTTTAGCGATCATAATAATTTCTGCAGTCTTCCACGCTGTGGGCCAATAATTGTATTGAAGTATGGCGTTGAAAATATTTGTTATATATAAGATACCTTTTGTAGGCAATTCTTTTAACATCTTTGGAGTAATTTTATCCATACCTGGCGAAGATCTATTTTTTATCCTTTTTATTTCACATAAGACATCATTTGGTGAAAAATGTCCTAACGGTGTAGAATGTATGGGTTGATTTACGAAATTGTTAATTAAATTATTCTGGGAAATATTTCGAGCGCTAAAAATGCTACTTAGATGATCAGCAAATGCCTCCGCTTTTTCTTCGTTGCTTTTTGCCCAAATGAATCCGTTTTGGTTGGTTATTTTCAGAGGAGGGTTTTGTTGTAGGGGTTTACTTTTGTTTCTGATTGGTTTCCATATGGAATTATCGTACCTATTTAACTGCAATATATACGACCTGAATGTACAATTCTTCCATTCTTTCATTTTTTTCCTCAGCGTGTTATTGAGATGATTAAGCGATGTCTTATCCGTTGGTAGATGAGAATGTTGCCAGGCTCGTCTTGCTCTTCGTTTCTGTGCAATTAGCTTCTTAATCTCTTGCGGAATTATTAGATTATCATTTCTTGGATTAATGTTCGGGGTGATCTGCTTGGTTGTTTCACGTCCAATCTCAGAAAAATAATCTATATTATTTTCTATATCAATAACGCTTGTAGGCCTAGATTTTGGAAATAATTTTGAATCAAGTATGGATTTGAATTGAATCCAGTTGGAAAGATTGTTGTGTAGAATATGATTGTTGATAACTGGAGTAGGAAATGTGCTAAACGTCACAAGTATTGGAGAATGATCTGAAGAGAGATCGTAACTAGATTCAATATTGAGATTTGAAAGATCAATACCTTGCACAATAAAAAAATCTAAAAGGTCTGGAACTTTAGTAGGGTCAGAAGGCCAATAAGTGGGACTGCAAGTTGAAATAAAAGAGAGGTTATTTTGCCCTATGGCTGCATGAAGAATCTTTCCTTTGGCTGTAGTCAGTCTAGAACCCCAGGCAATATGTTTACAATTAAAGTCACCACCAATGATAAATTTATTACCTAATTGAGAGAAAAATGAAGAAAACTGAGCACAAGAAATTTTGAATCTTGGTGGACAATAAACAGCAGAAACACAAAAATTATATAAATTTGTTTCAACAGAAATTTGAGTTGCTTGTAGAAAATCATCAGAAATATTTGGTAGAACAAAATGCTTTATATTATTTTTGATTAATATAGCCGAACCGCCGCGAGCCCTGCCACTTGGGTGATTTGAATTATAAGTAGTGTAGTTATAAATTTTGAAGTAGTTTTTTTCAGTGAAGTGAGTTTCTGAGATTAATAAGATATCTATTAAGTTTAACTTTAAAAAACATTCTACTTCATTTTTGTGAGGTATTAAACCGTTGGCATTCCATTCAGCAATTTTAATTATTTTTGCCATTGCTTTTGTTGTTGACTAACGTGGATAACATATTTATTATTATGGTGTTCTGTTGCAAAAGCTGATTGAAGATATTTTTAAATTCTGAAATAAGTGTTGCTAGAGAATCAGAATCAGGATTTGAAGGTGAATGAATAGAAGCAGAGTAATTGTTTTTTGCAATGTCTGCATAGGATGAATTTTGAATTGTTGGATTTAAGGCCGGAGAAATGTTGTTTATTATATTATTAGAATTAGAATTATTAGAATTTTTAAAATTTTGGTTATTTGGATTTGGATTTATGACTGATTGATTTACTGGAGTTTTGTTTCTTTGTTCTTTAATTTTTTGGAAGTATGAGCAACCGCGATAATTAGCTGGATGAGCACCGTCGCAAAAATAACAACATGCCGGAGCATTCGGATCTTTGGTACAAGCTATAGTATTATGATTGTCACCGCATTTTAGGCAAGCAAATGGTCTATTGCAGTATTTTTTGGTGTGATTAAAGAGTTGACAGCGAGTGCATTGTATAATGTTGTTGGACTTTCTCGGTGGTTCGACACGTATTATGCAGTTGAATAATTTATAAATGTTATAAATATTTTTGTTATTTCTATTTGGTTCCAGATCAACAAAAAACATATTAAGAGGTTCTTTTGTTATTCTATGTCTAATATTTAGGATATTACGTACGACATGACCCTGTTTTAATAGTTCTAATTTAATTGCATCTGTGCTTGTTGAAAAGTGTACATTTCTAAGAACAACCCTATAAGCCTTCTCTTCTTTTAATTGATATGTATGATATACGGCATTAGTTTCTTTTAGATGTCTGGATAAAGTTCGAAAATGGTCGACAGAATTACATAGAATTTTAAATGTATTGTTAGCTAAACTTCTCAGGAAATATTGATCGTGCGGAATTATTTCATTTAATTGATTAGACATATCATTAATATCGTCAACTCCATAAATAAATATTGGAGGGGGCTTACTGACTGGAGCCGGTTTAACTGAGTTGTCATCATTAGCTGTTTCTATTGTTGAAAGGGCCGAAAATCGGTTTTGAATTTTGACATCTATTCCTAATGGTTCAAATGAAGTTTTTCTTTTTTTGAAATTGACTACTTGCCATGAATTAGGAGGTTTCTTGACATCAGAATGTGGTTGAGTGAGGCTTGTAGATGCACTATTACTAGATGATATTACTTCCTGTCTTGAGTCAGAAACTGATGAAGTTAAACGCAGCGAGACCTTTTCCGATGTAAACATATTGGTCCGACCTTCTTCGCGAGGTATCTTGCTGTATTTGCTGGATCCAATAACGGTCTTTCGTAGTTTTGGGATTTCTGATGGTTTACTGTCCGATTCCATATTCGCTTCTATATCTTGATTGAAATGAAAGACATTTCTTTGATTCCACAAACGCACATTAGAGTCTCGATTATGTATGGTTTTTTGTAAGCAATTATTTAATTACCTATACACTTTTGTAAGCTTTTCATGCAATTTAATAAACCGTAAAATTCAATCTGACATGCACTTCATCTTTATAAAGATGAATACATACAATTCAGCTCTCACGATATCGATTAGGAGAAGTTTAAGATGCAATTTTGGATATCTTAAATAATAAAAAATTAAATTAATTTAATCCAACATAAAGTACCAGTGTTATGTTTTGGTTATGGTTATGTTATACCGTTTAAAAGACTTCAATTTCCAATATAGTGTGGGAATTGAGACTCATCATTTTATTTAAAGCAGTTCTACATTAAAATCAGTCATATTATAAATGTATATGCATTTTGGCGTGGAGAGTTATTTAGAAAACCATAATTATTATTTTTAGGTAAACGGTAAATATAAGTATATTATATTAAAAAATTAGTGTAGACATGGGTACAGGACAACGTCTGTCGGGACAACGTCCGTCATCTAGTAATAAAATATATATCCAATAGAGTTAGGCTAATTGTTAAATTGACTTAAAGCCACGTAGTTAAGAAATATCACAGCAGTTCATAGCACTCTTACGTCCTGATTGCTATGAATATATATGTTTCCAAGCTTTAAGTGATTTTCTTACCAACATAAAATAGATTGTGATCAAATACCTATATAGCACCACTATACTTATAGGATAAAAACAAACTTAGCAAATGTTTATCAAGTTTCTTTCGGGATTTACGATAATTGCATTCCGAATGATCCCCACCGGACAATTCACCAGGTGGAATCAGTGAAGGTACATGGACAATACGCCAAGGAAGATCCATGGTTCGACATCGCTATTATGACGCTCAAGGAGGATGTTAATTATGAACCGATCTGCCTTCCTCCAAAAGGTGAGGTTTATAACAAACTGTTAATTATAATCATTGATGCAATTACACGAACTTGCTTCACTAACTTTATAAAGTTTGATCAACTAAAATAAACTACAGAATCAACAATTAACGTTTCGAGATTACATCTTATATAAAGTCAAAACCCGCTTTCTGATACCGAGCTGTAGTGATATAATTTTTTACTTGTAAATACAGTTTACATGTTTATATGAAAAATCATAAGCTAAAAATGCTAATTAGTATGTACAAATATAATGGCAACTAAAAACGACAAACATTGCCTCCAAATAGCCATCTCTAAACACTAGCAAACGATTAGCTTTTTTATGAAATAGATTGTGATTCATGTAGAAATTATTAGTATATTCATGTGTAAATGTTTGAACATTTAATATTCGTTCCACTCATATCACAAAATTATATTATATTTGTGATAATTATTTTATATATATATATATATATATATATATATATATATATATATATATATAGAATTTTATGATATGAGTGGAACGAATATTAATTGTTTAATATGAACAAAACAGCACTCAGATTTGTTTAACACAACTTTATTTTATGATTACAGACGTTTCGAGACTATGGTGTGTCTCATCTTCAGTGTAATTTCAAAAACAGTTACTTATATACTACACATTCTTTAATAACTTATTTAAATTTCATTTAATTTTTGATATACAAAAAACACCACCTATTCCTTGCAATGCTTGACACAGTACTTACGTACGTAATATATATATATATATATATATATATATATCGTATATATATACTAGCTGACACGACAACGTTGTTTTGCTAAGTAAGGTATATTCTAAACAATTTCTAGAGAATTAAAAAAATTAACCCTTTCGACTCGGATGCCGCCGCTCCGTTGGCATGGTCATTTTACCCTTGCGCTCGGATGCCGCCTTTCCGACGGCATGATACGTTTTACCGTTCCACTCGGATGCCGCCACTCCGGCGGCAAATCGTGTGGTCGCGAACTAAACTTACAACATGTGAGTTTTTGTCATATTTCTAAAATTAATTCACTATTGAGTTCATTTTAAAATTCGATACAAAAAAAATTCCGAGTTGAGAGATATGTGTAGCACTATAATATACCGAGCGCAGCGCACCGTCGAGCAGTCGGACTCCCGAGTGGAAAGTGTTAATACTCTTATTTTTAGTGTATAAGGTTTGAATGCTATATACAATGCTATTATAAAAACAATAAACCCCATTAGTTTGACTATATTTTGTCAATACAATCAAACTGGAAGTTTTAAACACTCTATAGAAAACATGGTATATAATCCAATCCAAGTCTTTTTTGGTCTTTCGACTTATTAATTACGTTTCAAATTTTTCAGATTCTTTTTGGATTCTGGATTTTGTGTATAATCGTAAATAATACTACTGAGCCTAAAAAAAATGTTCAAATTTCTGCGAGAAGAGATAAAAATTATTTAAGTATTTCTTCTTTGACCTGCTTTTTGAAAAGTTTTAAGTAACATTCAATGAATTAAAATAAATTTAATGAAAAGTATATATGTAGAGCAGGGCGAGGCACAAGGGTCCAATTTTTTCTTTGAGCAAATGTAAACTATATTGTAAAAACGAAAACAATTACATCACAACAAAGAACACATTGCAAACGAACAATTATCTGACTACGTTCAGTGAAACTGCCAGCTACTTCATCGATGTAGTAATGTGCTTTTTTGATGTCTTAAATTTGTTATCTAGACCTTTTTACCCTATAGGCGGAGTAACTTTGAACGGCCAAGTGGCAAACAGGTTTAATGTCTTATTTTAATTTCCAAGGTATTTTACAAAATGATTGCATTTTTAACTAATGCTAAAAAACTACCAATGGAAGAAAATACTTTTATTATGGATTTCCAAAGATTACCGTTTATCTCCCAATTGCAAAATCATAAGAATCAAGGCTATAGCTGGTTATACATCTTTTTCCCTCTACTTTCAAATATTGTTAAACAATGCTTAACTTTACTGGTTTTTGACACATCGGTGGTGGACTTTTTTAACCCCGAACCTATAACATAAAATAGCATAAATAAAAAGTAATATAACTTAGAAAATGTTTTATAAATACGAACGAGTATATTTGAGATCTTTCAGAACCGTGTTTGAGAAAAATATGCCAAAAAGTACATTTTCATACATTTTATATATATATATATATATATATATATATATATATTTATATATATTTATATATACGAGTATATGTATATATATATATATATATATATATATATATAATAATTAATGGTAGTCTGCCCGAAGGCAGGTCCATGATGTGAGAGCCACCACAAACGATTGCCTTACCCTTCATCCCATTACCACTATTCCCTCTCCCCATATATATATATATATATATATATATATATATATATATACATATATATATATATATATATATATGTGTGTGTGTAGTGTCGTGTATATGTGCACGACGTCCCAGAATTCAACATCCAGCCAAAACGACAAGCGATTGATCCTGTGACCACTTTGATTTATTGTGGTCAATTTATATTATTTTTGTTCATTTACACCTTAGATCTGTAATCGCAAATTACATTTCTAAGACCTCAGTCAAAAGTAATAGCGCAATTTTCTAAAGTTTTCTAGAAAAAAGACAATGAATTAGAGATGAACTATAAATTTAAAAGTTGTACTTAAAAAAAAAGTAAAATGTGTTGATAAATTTGAGCAAATATGAATAAATAATATGTAAAGGAATAATTGAGACGTATTTTAATAATGTTGAAATTCAGGTGGTCAATTGCCTCCATATGGAGTAGTGACAGGATTTGGAGTGACGCAAGAAGGTGGGTTTACCGAACCCTGTTTGCAACAAGAAGTTGCTGTTGATATTCATAGTAGAGTAAGTTTAATTTCTTATTTCTTAGTTATATAATTATATATATAATTATTTATATATATATATATATATATATATATAAATATATCTCTGTATATATATATATATATATATATATAAATATGTATATGTATATATACAAGTTACGTGCAACCGTAGGAAAAATTCATATCTTTCGTTGAAGATATGAAAGTGTAACCTGCCTTTGCCCAAAACTAGTCAGCACGTATCCCCATCAATACGAATAGAATGTTTAAAATTATCCCAATCGGTTAATTCGTGTTCCCAAAATAGTTGACAAAAATTATTATATGAACGAACACACATCTATTTTTTCTAAGGTGTGCCAGAATGTTCGGAAACCTTTGAAACGTAAAGATATGTAAACATTTTTGTTTTGGATTTTTTGTGTTCTTAAAAATTATATTAAGGTATCACAAATTAAACAACATAGCTCAAAACCAGTGGCAGTTTATCTTGCGATAGCGATGTCTAAGAGTCACAAAATATCCAAGATTTTAAGTAAATCTTTATGCCGTACGTTTCGACATCACGTTCTGCAAAAATATTTAAGTATTTATACATATGTATAAATTATCAATAACTTCATGTAGAAAAAGTACAAATAGTACTTAATAAATATCGCTAGATTTGAGTATTTAGAACAAAAAAATAATTACCTTAGAATTATATTGTAAAATCGTATGCTATATAAAAGGACTCGCCAAGGCAACTGCAACAGACGTCTGTTAAAGAGATCAAATATATACACACATGCTTATATACATACACACACATACATATATATATATATATATATATATATATATATATATATATATATATATTGATATTTATATGTATAAGTGTGTATGTGTGTATGTATGTATTTATATGCATGCGTAAATGAATGTGAGAATGGATCAACAAAGGAATACTTCAAGCGTGCAATAGAACCTGATTGGGTTTCTGTCAAAGGATCAATTATTTTCGGGACCATCCGCATATATATATATATATATATATATATATATATATATAAACTGACCCGACGTTGATTGGCATATTAATAGTCATTGCAAGTGCCTATGTATTATAACTGCGCTTTTCATTCATTCCTTATTAACTTCCCGTAGAGTAAGTTATAGTAATAGCAAAAAATCGAAAATGAATTTTTTTTTTTAATTTTTAGGTTTCAAAAATTTCTAAATATTTTGGCATACCTTAGAAAAAAATGGATGTATGTATGTATGTGTGTTTATTTTTTTTGTATAGCGAAGGAAATGCCTTTATGCATCCCATGCATGTTTGTGTGTGTGTGTGCGGATACAAATTTTCGTCGACGATTTGAATAATTTAAAAAAAATTCGATGCGTATTGAGTGCAAAAAATGCGTTTATAAAAAATTTCGTAGGTTTGAAAATTTTCAAAAAAAAAAATTCAAAATTTTCAAAAAAAAAATTCAAGCTTCAAAAAACTCAAATTTTCGAAATTTTTCAACATTTTCAAAAAAAAAATCTGAATTTCGAAAAATATCAAAATTTATAAAAAAAACAATATCTTACAAAAATTTGAAAATATTTCGAAACTTTCATAAAAAGCCGATAATTTCAAAAATTTCTAAGTTCTCAAAAAAATTTAAAAAATCGATTTTTTTCAAAAATTCCAAAAACTTTGAAACTATTAAACAATTATCAAAATTCTGAAATAAATAATTAAATTAAATACCAAATACAATCATAGAATACGCTCATCACCCAAACTAAGAAGCACTTATAAATTTACAGTATGTATTTATAATAAATAATCCATTTCAAATTATTTAAAACTATTGATATTGTTGATCATTTTCATTCCTCGAATTGTACGGAAAGTTCCAGCAATTTGTCTTAAAGCACGATGCCATGCACGACTAGGTAACTTTTTCACAAAGGTTTGGCTCCTTTATGATTACCAATTGAAAAGTTTATAAAATTTCAACTTTTTATCGTGAACTCCGTGCTCCATTCTTTGAGCTTATTCAATATGTTATTATTCTTTATTATTTTAGACTTTTAATTTTTCTGAGCATTTCTAATCATTTTTATATTTCGGCTGTTTGTAAATTTTGAAATAAAAAACTATTGGCTATATGACGTTTAAGAAATACATGAAAGTTTCATATTGGAATTCAAAGCGAATCGATAATGAATTCATAATAGTGATTAAAATATGTAAATCCTACTACTAACCGTGGCGATTGAAAAATATTATTACTACATTTTATTTCTTTGTTAACGTAAGAATATTACACACGTATTATGCTAAAAACGTTAACAATAAAAATTAAATTTAATGAAACATACATGTGTAACAAAGAGAGAATAATTTGGATAAAAAGCAAAAATTATTTTCAAAATAAGCAGTAGAAAATGTTATTTAAATAGCTTCTAAATTCTTATTGAGTATATTATTTCCTCACTTCGGGAAGTTCATGCAACTTGCCTTAATGTTAAATGCCACATACAACTACTTATTTTATACAGTCATAGATTCAAAGTATTATAAACAACTTGACATTTAAGAATGTATTTTGTTTTTTTTTCCTCACAAATATCAATTTCAATAGTAAGCGGTTTTGACTTATTTAAAAATGTAAAAATTATTCGTTGCAATATGGCGGCTTCAAAAGCGCCCAAATTTGATGATGATGAGGGTTGGACTGTAGCGGAAATACTAGGAGAAGGGGCTTATGGCGAAGTAAGGCTAGTCATAAATCGAAAAACTAGAGAAGTTCTGGCAATGAAAACAATCGACACAGTCAAGCATCGGGATGCTAAACGTGCTGTGCACAAAAAAGTTGTTATACAAAAGTCTATACGCCACCGAAACGTATTAAAACAGGCGGTGAGCTGTATGATCGAATAGAGTCTGACTTCGGTATGAAAAATAATGAGGCCCAGAAATATTTTAATCAGATTTTGTCTGGTTTACACTATTTACACAGGAGAGGTGTAACACATAGGGATTTAAAACCCAAAAATTTACTCTTTGATCATAAAGATAATTTGAAAATTGCAGATTTTGGAATGGCAACCATATTTCGAGTAAATGTTCATGAACGCCTTCTTGAGAAGAGATGTGGAACTGTACCTTACATTGTCCCCGAAGTTTTAACTGGAGTTTGATCCTGCGGGATAATTTTAACTGCCATGCTTACTGGAAAGTTGCCGTGGGATAAACCCATGTGAAAATATCTTCAATACACAGCTTGGGATAAAAATTCTTATATACTAACGCCCTGGACCAAGCTCAACAATTTAGTATTGTCTTTGCTAAGAAAAATATTATCACCTCTTCCTAATAAAAAGATTAACTTAGAGAGTTTAAGAAAACATAGATGGTGCGCAATGAAATTCATTAGTGAAGATTCTCAAATATCACTCCAAGATGTGGTGCATGAGCCCCCATATAAGCGATTTTGTGCCATGCCTAATTATGAAAAAAATATCAGCAAATGCTCACTTTCGGCATCTGTAATTGTTTCACCAAATGCTCAAGAAAATAAAATTTGTCCCAAAACTGATGTTTGCTTCTCGCAGCCGGTGCTTATGGATGAGGATGATGGTCTTAAGTACTAACTTGAATCTTCCACAAAGTGAAACAGAAAATGTGTTGCTTAAGCCAGTGAGAAGAATGACTAGATTATATGTTTGCGGAGATACTAAGGGTGTCATTAAAAAGCCTACTAGCTGCCTCGACAAAAATGATATTCGGAAAGTAAATGAGGGCGTAGTAACAATAAACACATTACACAGGCGCAAAATGTCATTAGTATTCAAAGACAATCTGAGAGATAAACAATAACTTGTTGATTGACTTCCGATTATCAAAAGAAAGTTTGTAGAAATAAAAACCAATTTAGTGGACATTATAGTCAAAGCTCCTGTAGGTTGACCGGTAACTTCATGACAATTATATTAACACATTTGAATGTTATAAAATAATATGTTGACTATTAAATTTATTGAGTTATGATTCAACAATATTCTATCCATAATTAGACTGCTTGAAATTGTTTATATTTATTGAGTAGCAAAAAGTGTATTAGTTTATTTTTTTCATAAAGTTATGTATGTTTGAACACTTTTTATACATTTTTTAACTCAGCGTTTAACATTATGAAAAAAAAATGTTTTGTAGTGAACTTCACTGTGAAGTCAAATATATATATATATATATATATATATATATACTAGCATAACCAGCCTCGCGTCGCGACGGCCCTTATTTAAATCCACCTGATTGAAATTTGAATCCGACAACCAACCAACATTTCAAACCTTTTGTTATAAAAAATTCACATCAATTCATTCATAAATTTCCCGGAACATTAACAAACGTCATTTTCGGCATTTGTTTTAAATTCATAACCGCCCAAATTTATTTAAATTTAATAAATTTCATCATTCTGTATCTGAAATGTGATTTGTAATATTGCCTATAATATAAGTAGAAATAATGAATATATTTGTTCCTATTTGAATTCGTTAAAAATATTAATTCATTTGACTGTCTAAATTTTGTTTATGATTAAAGTTAAATTTAATATGTCGCTTATTCATTCTGATCTATTATGTTTTGAGGACGTTTTAGTATCCCAACTAATATGGTAAGCAAACCAAATAAATATAAATTATAAATTTATTCATCTAATACTTTCAATAGATATTGGCAAATGACATTTCACTTTTTTTAGTCAAAATTTATTTAAATCTAACAACATTATATATTTCTGTTATTTTGAATATAGCATTTTGCCTAATTTAATGATATAACTGTTGGATATATTATATTATATCTGTTCCGTTTTCAATTAGTAAGAATAATATATTTTTTGAACTGTCAATTTTCTTTCAAAAATCATAAATCGTTTTTTCTCGAAGTTTCCATAAATGACATTTGCCATTTTAGTGTTTGGTTTTTTTTTAGTAAATTTCTGTCAAAATTTATGGAAATTTATAAAAATTATATATTTATATTTTAAATTTATTTTT